GACATATTAATCTTGGACAAGTGGTATTCTAGGACATTTTAATATATTAATATATTAAAATGTCCTAGAATACCACTAAAGCAGCGTAAATAAGATATCAGCCAGAGACAGACAGAATCTAGATAAGTGGTGCGGATTTTTTGATCCGGTTATCTTTTATTCTTGTTAATTCGCGTCATAATATAAAATAAGGTGAATAAAAAAAATATATTTTTTTTTTGTCACGTGATTTATCAAATCTCAAATTTTTATATTATCTGTGAACGAAAACCATTGTTATATTCTTATGCATAACATACATCAGTTTTATTTTTTTTCTTTTGTGAAGTTCAACATAAACCTGCATATTGACTTATTGCGATTATAATAAAATAAAAATCGGTGGAAAGGGTCTATTTATAATTTTTAATAGATTAAAAAGAACAATACAACATACGAGTTTTAAAGATTAACAATAAGCTGAATAGAACTTTGTCAACTTATCTTTGTAAGTTCTAATTAAGCAATTTCATAAAAATTAAATTTATGTATCTATAAATGAAATCATCATATCAAAAGGGTAATCGCTAATGCCATTACCACTGCCTTTTTTATGTCCTCATGGATGGGATGGTTACACGTAAAAAAGAAAAATAATATATAAGATGCGAGTCGTTTAGAACAAAAAAAGTAAAGTCCAACTTTTTACCTTGTAACGATGAGAATTAACATACAAAACATCCTATAGTCTGTCTAACTTTTCTTCTATTTCTTTTCAATTGGACTTATGCTAGAGCAATCTTACATGAAACTCGCGCAAATCATTATTATGTTAAATTCACTTCTTCGCCGTTTGATTCATCTGTTGACCATATTGATGCCCAGCATGCCAATTTTCACAAAGAGCTAAATAAACTTGGGATCAATATTAAAATTAAAGATGTATTCAAACGATATGCTAACGGAATTAGCATCGAGACCGATGAACACCATGTAAAACGAATTGCAGAAATTGAGCACGTTGAAAGTATAGATATTGTGGTAAGAAATTCGTGGCGGGAGATTCCCATATGGCGCAGTATACCGCATTAACAAATTCACTTTTAGAAAATTTATAAACGAATAAATTTAAATGAAAAAAAATTTAATCAACGTGCCTACGATTATACGAACTTACCTGATAACGTCAATTCTGTTCATGAAATGACTGGCGTTAAAAGAGTTCACGAAGAATTGAAACTTTCTGGAAAAGGCGTTAAAGTCGGAATCATTGATTCAGGTATTTTGTTTATTTTAACTAAATCACGAAAACTTTTATTATTTGTCATTTCATATCCTCTTTATATTAGGTATTGACTATACACATCCCGCACTTGGAGGGTGTTATGGACCAGGATGTAGAGTAGCATTTGGGTATAACTTTGTTGATGATAATGATGATCCATATGATTGTCTTGGACATGGAACTCATGTAGCAGCAATTGTTGGAGGTGATCTAAGGGTTAACGGTTCTGGATTTGTGGGGGTAGCACCTGATGTTATTTTTGGAGCATATAAAATATTTCCTTGTATGAAAGATGAAGCTACCGATATTACGATAATGAAAGCTATTCTGAAGGCTGTTGATGATGGAATGGACGTCATAAATATGTCATTCGTAAGTAAATGAAATTTTTTTATTTATTTTATTGTTTTAAATAAAACATGTACTGACTTCAAAATTTGTAGACAGGGGTTGATAGCAAGAAAACCTTTTTGGTAACGTTGATCAATGATTTGATCAAATATAAAAGAACAATATTCGTAGCATCAATAGGAAATAAAGGTGGTAGAAACGGTTTATTTACTATTGGAATGCCAGCTAATTCTCAACAAGTTATTGGAGTTTGTTCATTTGAAACAAATAAAGTTATAACTTTTAAAGCCTTTGATCCGAAGAATCCAAAGTTTGTTATTAGTAAATATATATAAATTTATCTAAATTTGCAAATTCCATCCGTAAAAAAAATAAAACATTGAACCAAATTTTTTATATTTATTTACATAGATTACATGACACAAGATGTATCAGCATTTCCTTTTCAAAATGCTAAGATTAAATTGCTTCCAAAAAAATGCATACATGATTACAAAGATTTTAAAAATACAATAATAATCAAAGATAATAGAGTTGAAAACAAATGTTCACAAGTTATTGATGCTGTAAGTTAATTCATTTAAAATACTTTATTTAATTTATTTTTTTTTTAATTTTTCATTGAAGATAAATTTAAATATTTTGTTTATAGACGAAGCTTCTTGGGGTAATTGTAATCAATAATAAATTTAAAGAAGGAACTTTGCCAGCGCCCCCCATAGCGGTTATTAATACAAAAGAAGCCGATATGTTGATTAAATATCTCGAAAAAAATCCTAATTTGGAATTAGATTTTTCCGATAAGCACGGATATATAAAACCTCATCCATTTGCTGAAACTCCTTCTGTATTTTCGGGTTGGGGTTTAGCTGAGGACTTAGATATCAAGGTAAGAAAATTTATCGACTAAAGTAAAAAAAGAAAAAATCTTTAACATGCGTAAACTTTACTTTTTAAAAAATTCTTCAATAGCCTGAAATTTGTGGACCTGGAGGTTTAATATTTTCGGCTTTTCCGGTTAATAATTCGACTTATAGAATACTGTCTGGAACAAGTATGTCATCGCCATATATAGCAGGCGTAGCGGCATTGTATATGGAGAATTTAGAAAGCAAAATCAACAACAGTTTTCCGAACAACTAAAAACTGCATTAATGAATTATGCTATTCCTCGTGAGGAACGTAATAAATTATTGGCTTCGGTACTTCGTCAAGTTGCAGGTCTCGTCGATGCTTATAATATGTTGACAGCAACCAGCTTTGCCTATCCGCCAAAAATTAATTTGAATGACACGGTTCATTTTAATGGAAATCGCAAATTAACTATTTATAATGTTGACAGAAAAGAGATGAAATACATTTACCAGCTCCGAGTGTCAATGGATATAATAAAACTTTCATAAGAAATTATTATCAGTTGGAGTATTATACACGACAGTATGCTAGTGTTAAATTTGATAATGATCAGATTACTGTACCACCTGGTTCAAGTGTTGACGTTCTGTAACTTTATGTTACCAAAAGATCTGCCTAAGGACAAACATTATTTTTATAGTGGTTGGTTAGAGATAATGCCTTTAGATGAGAACAAGCCTAAATTGACCGTTCCCTATGGTAAATTAATTCCTTTACATGAATCATCATTTTTGTAATTACTTAATTTTTTATTCTCTATTAATAATTCCTTACAACTTTTTATTTATATAGCTGGGTTAGCCGACGATGCAAGATCGCTTCCATTATTTCAGACACCTAAATTTCCTGCACTTTACAATTACGATTCGAAGAAATCTATCCAAAAGAAGGATCCAATTAAAACATTTACCTTTAAACTCCTTAACATTACAAGTGGATTACGTGATTATCCATCTATACATCTTAATTTTACAACTCCGACACAAGCGGTTTTTACTGAGATACTTGATGTTAATCATCATCTTTTAGGATCAATGAATGATAAAAAATATTTTCCTTTTCAAAAAGACATATTAGAAATACCAAAAATAATTTCATGGGATGGATTTATTCTTTCCGAACCCGTTTCCAACGGGAAATATTTTATTAGGGTTAGAGCATTGAAAATGTTTGGTGATATTAACAACGAGAAAGATTATGAAGTTTGGGATAGCCCTAAATTTAGAATTGAGAGACATTTATAAGATTGTATTTCTTTATTTCAATTAGATTTTTGTTTGTTTTAAATTATTTATATATTTGTTAAGTATTCTATTATTTAAACGTTTCTTTACAAATTATCACAATATAATTTCAACATGAATTCTTATAACTTATAAAATTAATGATTATATCAAGTTTTACACATAAATTTATATAATTCTTGGTGTCGAGACACGTCAATTAAAATAATATGTAGTTTGAGATATGCAAATTTTCTTGAAATGAGTTGTTATTGAATCGTTTGCGCTTAATTCACACATCAAAGATATAGGAATTTAAACAACCTATGCCATTTTCGAATTAAAAAGACGCGCCTGTTGATCAGGACGAACCAATAAAACAAGTATTTAATTATCGCTGGTGAACAAAAAGCAGAAGTTATTATTATTTTCAACTTCTAAACAATGATCAGTCAGGTATCCAAGTTGGTGTTTTTTCTGGCTAAGTTTCATAAATATACGGGAAGTAAGGTTTGTTCCATATCAACGGCTTTTTAGCATTCAAAAAACGATTCTTCTGAGTTATAATGCCTAAATATCATAAAATAAATTTTCAAGTAATACTTTCATTTTATTTATCAATCTCTTTCTGGGAGTAAAAAAAAGTAGTGCCTCTGAACCATCATCAGCAGACAGGCAAAAGAATTAATTTTATTATGTATACATCTTTTAATTAAAACAAAAAACATGAAGATAATTTCGAATTTAAAATGACATTAAATCGATTTTTCGTCAGATTATTTGATAATTGATTCAAATATCCCTTTCATCATGTCTTGATGTTTTGATTCTTTCAAAGCGAAGATTTCAGATGTATAAAATATAGTCACATTGCCGAGCTATCTGATATAAAAATCCGAAGGTTAAGTAAGACTTGTTTATTGGTAAGATCGTGTAAGACAAATCCGGTTGGACGCGGATAATAACATTGTTTCCATTGGTAAAAAAAATTCTAATTATGAAATTATTGTTGATGTTTAATATATATAATAAGTATTGTTGTTTGTAAAACACACTTTAGTAAATCGAATTGCAAAATGCGAATTACAAAAAAATTACTGTCGAGATGATTTAAACTATTTTACCTAAGGGACAATATTTCGAAAGACGCGGCTGTGCAAATTTCCGCACGTTTTAGACCCGTGTAATGGAATAATTTTATTAAATTTTATTTAATAGCTTTAGATAATATATTAATTAAATGTGAATGAAATTATGGTAAGTCTTCTATTAATGGATATGTTTTATAATTGTTCTTTTAACGTTAAAAATTCTCTCCCCCTCCTAATTTAATTCTTTGTTTAAATAGGTCATTTGATATGATATATTGATTAGATATTACCTAAATCGATAACTCTAATCTTGTTAAATTTTATTTGAGGTCGATTTATTTTTTGAGTGTGAAAGAAAATTTAATAGCAAAAAATAAAAAAATTCTGAAGATTCATATAATCAAGGTGGGAAAAATGTCGAATATGTTCATATAATAATATCGATCTTTATATGAAATATAATCTAAAGTATCTTTTAAATAATTGAATTGAATTGTCCAATTATTTTATATATAAGTTTCATAATCAACTTTGAAAAATTTAAAATTTTAATTTTTGATATAGTAAAATGTTAAATGACTGTTTAACGTAAGGTGAATGGTCCGTATGATTTGAAGTCTGTTAATATGAATTATTATTAATGTTGGTTGAAAATGAAAAACTCCCCGAAACATTTAATAATTTGCTTCAGTATCTAAGGATTTTCTCCCACAATATCCTAATGCAAGTTTCAATTAACATTTCTTTTACTTACCAAGAATTGGTAAGAATTGATTACTATTCTGATATATTATTCTTTCTTTGACCCAGGCAGAGGAGCGGAGTCAGTACGATTCTCTTCTTTGTATTTTGTAATTACATCTTGAACTATGATTCTTGGTTGTCCAAGTACTTTTGCAATCTTCCTTACACCATGTCCGGCCATAAGAAGACCAATAATCTCTCCACGCTCAAAATCTGAAAGTTCATAAATTTTTGGCATTTTACTTAAAAAATTGGCGCACACTTAATTTACAGTAGCGGTCATAAGTATCCGACCGCCCGAGATCGTCCAAAATTATTATATAACTACCCCTTAAATTTTCC